GTGTACCTTCTTAATGAATTCTCCAGACTACTGTAATTTAAGACGGGAAATGCAGTTGAAAGAGCCGACACCTTTTCCCCAATGATTCTGCTGGAACTATCTACTGGGACACACATAACCCCGTAAATTATTTTCGTAGTCCCTTGCAATTGTTTCGTTGTCTTTGGCTCCCTTTTTTTTAATATTTTTCCAACTATCTTTTTGTCGCCACTATCACCAGAACGCATGTCTTCTTGATGCAGTGAATTCCTACATTCTGTCAGTTCCATTTGAATCTGGCCCATGTTTGGACGCCATCTACTCGCAGGTTTCAGAAGGGTTAGGAGCTATTACTCCGCATAGTATTACTCCTCCAGGGCAATCTATCTGTTTATCTCATAAGCTCCTTTTAACGCCATGAAAGGCCTAAGAGTCTAACAGACTAAGACCCATTCCCATTGACCCGGGCGGAATCCACAGTGCCTTACGGAGAACATTTTACCCAAAAACCCATCTTTTTTACTTTCTTGTCCTGACCGATAACGCCCACAACTTCGAACTAAATAATCATAAACCCCGCGCTTTTCCCCCCTCGTCCATTCAAGTTATCTTTCCCGCCATCCTTGACAAGTCAACCCAGGGAACTGCTCTCTGCGACCTCGACGACTGGACTGTGATTTGGAGATAATAATCATAATAATCGCAGGTTACCTTCTTAAGCTCTTATTTATCATCATTGTCGCCATCGTCTGCCTCACCGTCGTCCCTTTCACCTATAGTGTCTCGGCATGACTTTCCTGGCACATATTGCTCTCTAAGTCAGAATCGCCTATAGCATCCCTGTCTTCCACACCCGAGCTATCACCGCGGCACCACCATCAACATCATCGTCATTTTCTGGACTCTTCTTTTCCCAAGGATATATTATCAATCATTGGGTCCTGTCATATCACGCACCAGCACATGTGGGTTGGATATATGCATCCTTAGAAATTAGGCACGCAGGGCTACGAGGGACTACGACATTCTCAAATAATACCTCATCGACTATTGTGCATTACTGAATATCCAGCAACAGCGGAAATCAGAAGGTCAGAGCTTCATTTTTCCCTTTTTCTTGCTTGTCATAATTCTTTTTTCAATCCCATCCCCTTGCCAGCTTACCAATCTTATCACCGCCTCCTATGACTTCCTCATGTCCGGATAAAGGCACATACGCTCCATCCACTGGTCCATTTGAAGTAGGATGGGGTATCGCAAGAGAAGCAACAACCCTGACAAATGTGCTTATACAATTGTATATCATTTCGTCTTTGGTTGAAGCCCGCAAGCGAGTCATGGTTTTGTCCGAGCATTCATTTCCGTGCTTCAATTCGTTCGTCCGATGGACCTAATGGGAATCCTTGCGAGGAGAGGAAGTAGACCCGTTCTAGGATATGGTTCGTCAACGGGCTTCCGACCCATCTGATACTGTTTTGGATGCCGATGGCCCGGTCCAGTCGAGCACGAACCTCTCAATCGAAACGATGTATCGCTTTTTCTGGACTCGACTCGAGCCTGTACCTACCACCATGACTACTGCAGCTGACAGCCTTATACACCTCGTCTTTATCCTGGATCGTCTACCGCATCTTTTCGGTCCTGTATTTTGATTGTTTTCGATCGCGACAAACGTTCTGATAAACTCCGTTTGGCTTCTACTGTCTACTTGATCGCGCATTGTCTCCCTACCTAAGCTATTCGTGTACTGTGTCTGGCTGGCGCTTAATTCCCTTTTCCCCATGATAGGTTAATCCTATACCTCACAGCCGTTTCCCACTATTCCTTTGTCTCCAAACATGACACCTTGTTCAACGTGCTGAAAATTGATGTGCTTTGCTAAAGTGTACCGAATTCTAGATCGTTGCGCCTGTCAAGATATTGTTAAGAATTGCGCACTCGCATCGTCAGGTCGAGGGAACTACCCACGGACCGAGCCAACTGCCGTTCCCTGTTCCGCCACAGCACGCCCTGTGCAGATGATGATCGCTTCTCCTGTCTTGTACGTCTACCAGATTCTTCGCTGCAGTTCTTTTCTCGGCTGCGAAAAAGGAAACTGATACCGAGGGTCTTAGACTTCAGTGAATCCACTCCCGAGATTCAAAGCTCTTGCCGTACGAAGTCTACGTCCGTGAATGCCATGTCCTTGTCGGATATTTCTTGGAATCCCCTTGGTCTCTCAAATCATTTCCCAGGCCGACAGGACTTGTACCAGCAAGATCTTCAGCCTTCTGCTGCTTTTCTCAGCCACGAATTCTCGCACCTCTCGGATTCTTTCTATACAAAGAGAACACCACGTTACAATATGAATACACTATCTCCGGATGAGATGAAGCGGTTTCAGGAACTTTCGAACGAGTTCGAAGCAGACGTTCAGGTAAGCGATGGCTGTTAGCGGCTTGCGCATAGAACTCGACTGACGACTGGTGCCAAAGGGCCCTTTGGTATCCATGAAACAATCGAGCAATGCAATTGCGTTGGAGTATGCGAATGCGGATCCTACCTATGTCACAAAAACCAACGTACGATTGCTGCTTCCCCATTTTTGCTTTCCCTTCGACGGATGCAGTATGGTCTAACAATCCACACATAGGCACTGGCAGTGACGCATCCTTTTACACGGATCATGAAAGGGGACGGGAATTGTGGTTGGAGAGGTGAGCAGTCGTCCTTCCAGAGATTCGTGGGTCGTATTCCATATATGCTGAATGGTCTGTAGCGGTTGCGTTCGGCTACTTTGAGAGCCTCTTCAATCTCCGAGACACGCTGCAAGTGCACCGCGAACTACTGCGGATCAAGTCGCTGAGCTCTCTGCTTGATCAAGTCGGCCAACAGGAACATCTGTACGAAATATTTGTCGAAGCCACGGAACAGGTCTTCACACAAGTTTCGGAAGCCATCCAAAACGGCGTACACGACGAATCTTTCCTGGTTGAAGCCTTCAATATCGACTATAACTCGAGCGCCGTCATCACTCATTTTAGAGTCAGTATTCCTCCGGCACATTCAGATCCTTTATCTTAGTGTGAAGACCTGAGCTTGACGGCTGGCAATACTGACTCGCGAACATTTCTATAGCTCCTCACAAGTGCTTGGATGAAATTGAACCCTCATAGGTACCAGGCCTTCCTCTCGTTGCCTGTAGACCAGTACTGCGCAACGCGAATCGAGACGGTCAAAACGGAAATCGATGAAGTTGGACTTCAAGCCTTAGTTGATGGTGTGATCGAGGGGTCCGGATTCGCAGTTGAGATCCTATACCTCGACCGCAGCGCAGGTGACGCGGTCACCCCTCATCTGTTGACGCCGAGCCGGCCCAGCTCCGCTACGATCCGACTGCTGTATCGCCCGTAAGTCGTTGAGCGTCACAACTTGGCTCTAGATTTCAGGGCGCTGACATTCTTGATCCAGTGGCCACTACGACATCCTTTACCGTCTCGAACCTACTGTGAATATGGAACCCGTGGTTAATTACCAATTTGGAATGACCACTAACTACTCCCCGTGGGATCAAGGTGCTCTTTCGTTCGACGTGAACTCTAGTCTGATGTCGATTCCTGGTCTCATGATGGATCCGTCGTTTGGCCTCACGCCAGCTGCTCCTACTGCGATATCTCCTGCAATGTCTCCCGCGCCTCCGAGTCCTTACCGGGTATCTCCACCTCACGAAGTTTACCAGCCGAGTATGCCCAGCCCTCCGGCTGCAATTCCAGCAACATCACCACCACCACCTCCTCCCCGAATGTCTGGACCCCCGCCGCCTATGAGCTCGTTGCCAAGTCGCTCGTCTGACGGACCTCAAATTCGGCTGAATCCATTGGTCATGAAACAAAACTTAAGTCATTCCCTACCTGTCACTACTCCATTCAAGAAGTAAGATGGATCCGGTTGCTCTCTTTGGGTTGTTGATGTGTTAGGAGTTGAACACTAACCTGCTTTTCAGCTCTCCCTACAACCAGGCCCACTTTCAGAACCAGGACTTTGAGCCCATTCATTGGGAGCCCAGCGAGTCTCGAAAGTAGCACTCGAAAATGAGCTGAAAACAAATGCCAAACATATATAACCCAAGCGACAGACGACTCTTCTTCATGCTATAAGTTATGAGAAAAACGTTTTATGCTTCCGTGCGGCATTGACTCAGGCGATAAGCGGCATATTTCATGCAAATCCGCGATTGCCCGACGTACATCAAGAACCTCTGCTTTGTCTGTTAATCTAGCATTGTGATGAGCTGGAGATGTTTCGATACATCTCCTGGGGTTTCCAGTTCTTTTAGCGTCTCTCTTAGTGCGTATTGCATAGGTCTGAGCGTGCTCGACGGTTCTTTCTTTTTCCCTTTTTCCTCCGTTTTGTCAACGGCTTCGTTCGTTATGAGGAGGACTTTACCTTCAATGCAGATTGGCCTGGGGTCATATCATATGCTGAAATGTGGCAACTAGCGTTTGGACTCTTTCTTAGAGAAATTGACGATACCTCAAGATTGACAGGTTCCAGGAGGTCGACTCTCGGATCTCGTGGAAGCAGAAACTAGTCGGTCACCTGAGCTAGAGGCTGTGATAGGTCTGATCGTTCATGTTCAATCGCCATTGTGCCTTGTTCGTAGTGCGTCCTTGAGCTCTTTGAGCAACCCTCCTTCTTGTCATGAAATGGAAAAAGAGTACGGAGGTCAACTACTGGCCACTACAGATGCAAGCAGCATTGACTTGGGCAGCCGTATGCAGAGATCATAGGTCATTCTAATATTTTTATTCCATCACGAAACAATGACACCAGGAAACAGACCCACCATAGGAGAGCAGAAAACCGAAAAGTCTATCTAACGCCAGAGCTGTCAAGGGACACCTGGAACTCCATAGACAAGAACGAAGTGGAGAGAAACCATTGGGGGAAGTTCGCAAGTAGCGTGGTTAGCAATACATATCGATAGAGAAACAAGCGCAAGACATATCTGTGAGGTCATAACGGTCATCTTCGACTTTCCTCTACGCCTTGATGGACCGGAACAGCATCGACGGCAACGCCCTGAGCACCTGCCACAGGAAGAACAGGTTGTCGGTCGTCGGCGCACTGTCGTATTTCAGACTGCGCTCAGGCACATCCGCCATACCGAGGATGGTCTTAACGAGCGGCTCGGCAACGATCGTCCTGAGATACATAGCGATGAGATCATGGCCGTTGGTGATTCCCCCGCTACACCATAAATTGCCGTCATGCACGGCGCGCAGCGAGTCATCCCACTGCGTTTCGGGGAACTTCTCCCGCAGCATGGGGATCATCATGCGAGGGCCCGTTGCGCGCTTGCCCGTGGCGATCCCCGCGTGCGCGACGACCAGGATCCCCGTGCAGATGCTGAGGATGTGCGTGCCCGCGGTGTTGTGGGCGCGCATGAAATTGAGATACTCTGCTTCCGGGATAGTCGAGGGCTCTGGGCCCGGGATGAGAATGATGTCGAGAGCGCCTGGTTGGACGGCGGGATCGGCGGGGGAGTGGGTGAGTTGCAGGGAAAGGTGGGAGGTCGTTGCCTGGTGTGCTTCTTGGCCTGCTTTGCCGATGTAGACCACTGAGACCGGGCGGCCGAGCTCGATTAGGGGTTTGGGGAGGTTGCAGGCAGTTAGGTAGGAAGGGTCGATCATGAAGAGGAGGTCAACAGCGGCGAGGTCCAGGAGTTGGACGTTGCCGACCAGGAGGACGCCGATGCGGAGGGGCTTGCGGGTCATTGTGGTTATGGTTGTACTTAGAATGAAATTAGGGGAGACGAGGTTGTCTTTTGAGGTTGCTCAGATAGATAGAACTAAGTGAATATTGGATGATGAGAGAGAAGTGTTGGATCAAAGAAGTACTGGAAAGTAGTAACGGAGAGGAGCAATGGATGAGTATTATATGCCTGCCTCTTAAGAAATCAATTATAGTGGAGGGATGTAGAGTAGACTGTCTGGGCAACGCTCCTCTGAGTGTCGGTGGTACAAGCACAATTGGATTGATGAGACGGCAGGAAACGAGGCTTCACCGTCATCTTGGGGAAGTAAGAATGTTGTCTCAATTCAGGCACAGTTGAAGCCTCATTGGCAGGGCAGAGATCCAGACTCACGGGGATGCTGGTGCTTGAGCGCAATTGAGCAAATTGAGCAAAATATGACTGCACCTGGTGCAGGCGGTGGTCACTTTGTTTCACCTCCTCTATTCTTGCATTGGACTCCTCAGTGGTCTTTTGGTACTGTCTGCGGTCGGTTTGTATACAAGCAGCTTATATTCACCTTTATCTTGACATATTTGACAGGTATATGACAGGTATATGACAGGTTCAAGTGATACCTTATTCTCCTGCAATATCCCTTAGCTCCTTACTTTACACTCCTTACCTTACACTGGCTATCACATGCTTTGGTTCCATCGCTTCTCGTCAAGGTCGAAAGGTCCAAAGTCAGCCGATGCAGATTGCCTGCTATCTCTGTGTCTCTTTGACAATTTCTTCCCTCCTCTCTTCGACTCGATATGATGAAAGCCTCGTTTGATGGCTAAATTGACTTTGATGGCTGATGCTTATTGTGCCCTTTTGTCGCCCCACATTGATTGGCAACCGGGGTGGCTTCTCCCCCGCTGTCGTCGGTCTACTGGCCTCCAGCTGACTAGGTACGTGCCATTGACTCCGTTTACTTGCACCATAGCTTACTCCTTATCTCATTCCCAGGTTAATCCCTCGGTCTGTCCTACTTGGCTTCTGACGTGAGAGCCGTTGTTCCTGCTGTGTAACTGTCTCTTAGTGAGAGAACAACAGCAGGAAATGCCCGAGCATCCAATCGGACAAGGGTTCTCCGACTCTCTTGTCAATTCAGGGCAATGATGGACCAGGCTGGTGGAGTACAAACTTCCATTCGGGAGGCCATCTTGCCACAAAAAGTCTCCCCGCATTTCATTCCCCATGTTCTCTAACCGGGCTCGGTGCTGGTCCGATCACGCCTACGAAGATGATCTTGACTATAAAATTCTTCATTGGCCGGAGCACTCAACTCCGTTTCTTCAGCAATGCTTCTGGATCATGCTACTCAGGTTCAGAGACGGAATACAGTCGTGCGGAGTTTAAGAATCAACACGCGCAGGGATCGAGGAAGCCGAGGGGTATATAAGAATTACTTGCTGATGAGAATGATCGCATAGAACAAGATCAGCACTTTCGAGAGGTAAATTGACTGGACAGCAAGAATGACTGGGTCTATGGACAATACTCCCAAAGGGGGGTTTTCCCTCATCTATCAGAATCCCTATCTTCTTGGGGTCGCATCAGTAAGTCCACTTTCTGATGGAAAAAGACAGCCAGGGCGCGATCCTGACCGTTATCTGTAGTTCTCAACTCTCGGTGGGTTGCTCTTTGGCTATGACCAAGGTGTTATTTCCGGGGTTATTACCATGGAGTCGTTCGGGGCCCGCTTCCCTCGTATCTACACAGATAGCAGCTTCAAAGGATGGTTCGTGTCTACGCTCCTTCTTGGTAGGTTGAACATCCTAGGCTTCCCCTCCAATAACAATATTGACGCCTTGTTAGCTGCCTGGTTTGGCTCCCTCATCAACGGACCCATTGCCGACAGACTTGGACGCAAGCTATCAATCAACCTAGCAGTTGTAATTTTTGTCATTGGTTCGGCCATTCAATGCGGCGCAGTGACCATCCCGATGCTTTTTGCCGGTACGTTTCACCAAATCAAGACACATCAGAGTTTCTGATCGCTTGTAGGGAGAGCTATCGCAGGTCTGGCAGTTGGTCAGCTGACCATGGTGGTGCCTCTGTACATTTCAGAGGTATGTACCCTCGTCTGGCAGAGGAAGGAGAAGTAAAAGATTGCTAAGGATTGGCAGGTTTCTGTTGCCGAAATTCGAGGTAGTCTTGTCGTCATTCAACAACGTACGTTAGTCCATGGTTATTCCCATCAGTCATCTGCTGACTTGACGAGTCTCTATAACCATTGGTATTCTGGTCAGTTATTGGATCAACTATGGCACAAACTACATCGGAGGGTCACGCTGCGCCCCGGATGTTCCTTTCAGCAATGGTTCCAAATTTGATCCCTATCGCGATGTGCCATCGGGCGGCTGTGACGGACAGTCTGAAGCGTCCTGGAGATTACCCTTGGCTCTTCAGATCGTCCCAGCCATGATCCTCGGGCTGGGCATGTTTTTCTTCCCTGACACTCCGCGATGGCTAATGATGAAGGAGCGATACGATGACGCGTTGAGGTCACTGTCCAAACTGAGACGGAAAGACAGGGACTGCCCGGAACTCGTTAATGAATACCTGGAAATCAAAGCTTCAATTTTGTTGGAGAACACCTTTTCGCGAGAACATTTTCCGAACATGTCTGGCCTTCGATTGCATGCTGCTCAGGTGAGTGTTCTTAATCACAGCTCTTTCGTTTTCGGAGCAGTCTCACTGAACATGGCAGTACCTCTCATTCCTGACCACATGGGCCCGGTTCAAGCGGCTGGCAATCGGATGCTCCGTCATGTTCTTTCAGCAGTTCATGGGCTGCAATGGTGATTCTACATCGTTATCCCTTGTTTTGCTACCACTAACATAATCCGCAGCCATGATTTACTACGCCCCTACGATCTTTGGGCAACTTGGACTGGACGGTAACACGGTAAGCTTATAAGTGTAAGAGTCAAATTAGTTAGCTTGACTGACTCTCCTGGTACATCTTAGACCTCACTCCTCGCTACCGGCGTCTATGGAATCGTGAACTGCCTCAGCACTCTTCCAGCACTTTTCTTGATCGACAAGGTTGGCCGTCGTCCTTTGTTGATGACTGGGGCCACGGGCACCTGCATTTCCCTGGCAATCGTAGGCGGCATTATCGGCGCCTATGGATCAGACTTGGTCAATCACAAATCCGCTGGGTGGGCGGGGATTGCCTTTATCTATATCTACGATATCAACTTTTCATACTCTTTCGGTCTGTGTGCCCTCATCTCGTCACCTATCTGAGTGCATTTGACTGACTGAGAACAGCACCCATCGGTTGGGTCCTGCCGTCGGAAATCTTTAACCTTTCCATCCGCTCCAAAGCTATCTCCATCACGACCTCGGCGACTTGGATGTGCAATTTGTATGTGTTTCATTGAATGTCATAAATGAGCGAAGCAAAAGGTTATCATGAACTGACACCTCGCCTTTCCAGTATCATTGGACTGGTAACCCCAGATATGCTCGACACAATCACCTATGGCACCTATATCTTCTTCGCAGCATTCTGTCTTTTGGCGCTGGCTTTCACATTCTTCTGCATTCCAGAGACACGCGGGAAGGTTCGTCGCCCTGATCCCATCTCTTTCCTAGTTGTGCAGCGCTGCAATTGCGGATTGGCGGCGGCTAACTTGCCAATCAACAGACTCTTGAAGATATGGATCTCATCTTCGGTGACACAGCAGCCCATGAGGAGAAGCAGCGCATCGTCCAGATCGAGGCGGAGCTCCGGGAAACTCAGGCCGGCGACCCTGACCTCGAGAAAAAGCCATATGCGCGGCAGGAAGAGGATGTTTAGAAGAGCAGGAATATATTCAGCGCCGTCACTGGAAGATTCCGGTTTCTTTCGAGTTGATCGGAGTAACGTCAATGTCGTCGTTATGAGCTCTCACGTTCAGTATGTGTGATACCACGTTCGATTCTGTTACAATACTTAGCCACAGTTGAATCAGTGGAAGTCGGTCTGAGGCGCGAAATTCACCCATTCGGAGAAATCCATTCCCCCTATATTCAACTCTTGGTCCACATCCGGGAACATACTCCCGAACATTGGATCGTTGAGGAGCTGATCTGAGAACTGCATCAGCATCGGCGGCTGCACCGCGGTTGACCCGTCCGAGACGGAGGAAGTATACGCAGGGGAGCAAAGCCTATTCACGACTTCTAGACAGCGGGTGGCGAGACGGTTGTTGCTTAGAGAAGGGTGGGTGAGAAGTTTCTTGGTGGTCTCGACGTCTTGAAGCCAGGCGGGGGCGTCCGTGCTGGTGGGATCTGTCATGAGGAGTATGATAGGGATCAGGCCAGCCTGGAAGAGGAAGTAACTGTACATAAATCCATTAGCGTTCAGTTGCCTCGAGCATTTTCGAAGATGGTGGTAATGGAACGTACAGCATATACCAGGCCCCCAGTCTCGTGCAGATGTGATTATTGACAAAGTCCGAGATGGACGAGATGGTCCACCGGGCGTTGCGAAGGCAGAGCATTCTGCACTCCGTCTCGAGCGGATCCTCGGGTTCCGGCGGCGAGCCCGGCGTCGGCGTCCATCTTCTCGACGCCCAGCGGAGAAGGATGGGCCGGTAGAGGAGGATTCTCAGATTCCAGTGCCGCCACATGAGGCGGTTGCGGACGAGAGCGAAGTTGTCCGACTCGGGTGTTGTAATTGGCTGCTTGAAGTAATGCGGGAGGCTGTTGTACCAGTCTTCCATGGGTTTTGAGAGACCCAATGTCTCCTCCGCGGTTAGACTTGGTGTTGATATCAGACGCTGGTAGACGCTATTGGTGTGTAGGTGGAATTTCGCCTGCGCGATCATGCCTGAGTAGATAGTCGGCCCGTTCTCCTCGGCGGGTAGCACGGTGGTGGTTGATGTGAGAGCCTGTGATTGCGTTAGATATTGAATGAGCTCATTAGAATGCTTGTGGAGGGGATTAGTATTACCTCGTCATGAATGTTGAGAACGTGTTTTGAATCCATGACACTGTCCTCTGGTAAGAGGATAGGTCGACCAAAGGTTTTCGCCGCGCCACTGTCGAATATATACACTCCCCACCATAATCGTCTCCTCATCTCTCGCTGAAGTAGACTGATTTTCCAGCCTGGGAACTCCTTGTGCAGACCAAGGCTCATGGCCATCCGCACAGCCAGGCCCAAGAAATTCCAGCCGGTGTTCGGCTTGTTTCTCTTTTGCGCATAGTTACTCAGAAGTAGCAGTGCCAAAATGAGAGTAAGATTTCCTGTCTCAAAAACAGACACCTGCTGCAGGTGGCTTCTGGCTTCCTGGTAGAATGTGATATCAAGGTCGGAGTTGTCATCTCCAATGCTCCATGCCCCAAGGGCTAGAATGGTATTGAGAAGTATCTGCCACGCCTGTCCATGGGGGCGGGGAGCTTGTTCATAGAACTGCGCTTTGAAGGTAGCTTCGTGCACAAATGGATAGCTGGTATGGTAATTGAGAAAGAAGGCGTCCATGAAGGCTTGCTCAATGAGCCCGGAAGGTGCAGTGCTCAGAAGCTGGCTTTTCAAAGGCACTCTTTCCGCTGGCTTATTCGGACTAGCGGGAAAATTCAGATCGAAGCCATGCTTCAATAATGCTCGAAGAGGCACCACACTGGAAGATGCGCCTATGGAGGGAGTTAGCAGCCGTTTAAGATTTCCTATGTTTTGGTCCGACACGAACCGAAATAACCTGTTCCCTCGGGCTTTATCGACAAGGCGGCCATTCCATCTGTCAAATCACCTACTGTGATTCTGTTCTCGGCCCAGTCGAACCCGTCCGCTTGTTGCGGAAGAGCTTCAGGGGCTGGTTCGGTTCGATCTGCCTCGGCCTTGGCTGGGGTTGAATGCCTTGACGAAGAATTGGGCGAAGACACAGGCTTCTGCGGTGCATCTTGGTCCTGCAGCAACGAGCGAACAGTAGCGTCCAGGTCACCTCCAGGAAACAGCCTTCCTAAAGCTGTTTCAAATGCTTGCAAGCGCTCTTCGACGTAGGTTAAATGTCTGACAATAACGCGTTAGCCATTCTGTACTAGTAGAAACGGAAGAGCAACTCACTGTCGAGTGAGAGGGCTTCTAGTGACTTTTGGACTGTAATTGCATTCTTTGTTCAACTGCTTGCATTGAGCGCATGTCGGTCGTTCTTTCGAACACTGTGAAGTGTCAATATGGATTTATCCGGTCATACCAAAATGGATATCCCATACCCTAGACTTTCTTAAACGGCACTCATCACACTGGACACAAAATCAGTTACTCCCGTTCCTTGACTAGGATTAGTGGAAGTCTGGGGCACCTACAGCATATGAGTGAGAATCACGGGTACTGGCCATTTTTATCGATGATAACCTGGTTGTTTGTAATGTAGGTCAGGTGTACGTTGAGAGTTACACCAGACTGGTAGCATCTAATCGGGTATAGCAGAGTTAGCACTCAGCGCCGGTTTCATCAATCTGCAGCTTCTCCTTTTTACCGTAGTCAAGCATGACCAGGGTGACTGGCCGTATTGCAATCTACATGGGAGAATAGGGGGTCGAGAAGAATTGACAGGGCATTTCAAGCAATGAACATAACCCGTATTCACACCAACAGGCGGTATACAGGTATTTTAAAGACAAATGGACTTGCGACAGGACAAATCGGGAAATATCAATTGAATAAACAGAACATGACTGGGGAATCTCAAGGCGAGAGGATATCGTGGGGCCAACTCACGATCGGCATAGGAACAGTATAGGATCCACGCTTCAGGGACCGGACAACCAGAAGTCACAAATTGATGCAGTTTTCCAAAAGCATGAGAAGATGAGAGGATAGCCTTCATTCGACTTGGTATTTGAGACTCAGACTACTCTGGATTCCGAGTCGAGACATCCTCGTTTTGTGCTGGATGAGAAGAAAGTCATGTGGGGAAGTGGCAGTCAGTCAGGTGATGGGCGCAAAATTTTGTCGAATAACAACGATCCATTGTTGTCCTCAGGCACATCTGGCAATTCGGGTCGATTGGGGATCAGTAAATCTTATGGAAGAATTACAAATGACTTCGTACTTTTTATGATATGCTACAGCTCTATCATTCAGGCTCTTTGGCAATGTCATCTCTGGAAAGGCCTGCTTATTTCGCCGATACTTGACTTGATCAGGCTTGTGTTGTAGTATGCTTTGTCTCGAATAGTTGCAGTACCCCTACAGAGTAATTACAACATTGTTGAATTTAGATCAATTGAAGGGGATACATTGATAGAACGAGCAATAGTGAATTCTTTTGCTAGGCCTCGCTGCATATGATCAATGGCTGACGAGCACATCACATTACCAGCCTGGCTGCATATAAGCCCTTTTAACGAAGTATATTTATTGCAATTTCCCTCCATATGTCTCTTTCCATGCTGCGTATGCTTCGTCCTTGTCGCCAGGATGAGCTTTCAATGCGAGCCCATTGCGACTACTAGAAACTTGAGTAAATGAGATATCTTGGATAAAAATACAGCAGAACGTCTAGATTCGTTCGAGCGCAGCATTGAAAGGCATCATATTCATACCAGCTGCCTGAGGCAGGAGGTTGTCTTGGCATCAATGCGGATATCGACCAATCAGTCATATTTTCTATACAACGTCATCTCCCCGATACTAACAATATCGAACTAAATTCCGCACAATTACGGTACTCTCAAGACAGAGCCCATCTGGGATTTACGAATATCAGTTTTGATTGCGCTCACCTGTGCAACATCCCGGAGAAAGCTGTCGTTTGATTATGCCCTCCCAACCGGCAGTACCGCCCCTCCTAACGCCATATGTAACGTCCCTCCCTCAATCCTCACTCACAGTCTTGTCCTCAGTACTAAACTCAACGGGCAATTGGCTCGTCCTGCGATTCCTCTATGCTGCACTGAGCGCGCCGTCTAACTCCCACGTTACGTTCGGTAGCGATGGCGTTGATGGGCGGAAAAAGTGCAAAGTCGCGCTTGTAAGTTTTTTGCGGGGTTGGGATTTTTGGAGGACAGAAGCAAAGAGATTGGTAAGTTTGCCTCCCCCTGCTCGATTTTTTCCTACTCAAAAGTGTAGTCGCTATTTATGGGCTTCGTTATTTATGACTTTCATTCCCTGAATTTTCAATCCAGTAACAGACTGACACTCCTAGGGTTTGGATCTTGCGCGCCTGACAGACAAGGGCCAATTTGCCTTTGTCGATGGACTCTCGGAACTCTTCTACGCGCCTTCGGCGACCCAAAGATCACCGCCGCCACCATCTTCGCCCTCTGCCATTCCTCCAAGGACTGCCCTCCCTCTGCGCACATCCCTAGGCGCTGTGCCGGGACGAGCTCCGCAACATCTGCCGCAACCGAGCTCCACGGTCCCGAGCACAGCGTCGGCCGAGAGCGGACGTACAAAACGACTACATTTCTCCGGCAGCGGGCTTGGAGCCCTTGACGCACTCGAGAATGACATCGCGAATGTGATCGAACAGCTTAAATCCTCAAAAACCGGAGATGAAGGGGAACCCGAAGTACTACTGGTCATTGACCAACCGGACATGCTACTGGCCGCTTCGGGTCCGAGTCATGGTATAGGCGCTACCGAGATGGGGGAATGGGTCATGGGACTACAAGAGGTACGATCATCGAGGGAGAGCCAATTACTGTGCTGACCGAGCATAGCATGCTTATGCGACAATCCTGACGCTTTCCTCCGATTCGCCGTTGATACACAACGCATCAACATCCGCTTTGCAATCGGCAACGCCATTGGAGATGGAGCATGCCGCCTTTGCCATTGGATCGGCTCATCGGGCGGAGATGGTCATG